TATGGAGTAGTTGGGGTAGTTTGAGGGGGAAAAAAGTAGAAAAATACAGAATACATTTGGAACAATGGCAAATAGGCCAGTTTGGTTGTGATTTATAGGGTAAGGAATAGATGAAGAAATCAAATGATGAGGTGCCTGGTGGAGAAGGGGGTGGGGAATTTTCAACTCCAGGGGCTTTGGGTGCAGTTGAGTGTCTCTGAGCAGGGAAAAGTCTTTATGAAAACAATGGCAGAACAACGCAAATTTAAGTTTGGAGAAGTGGCAGTGGAAACAAAGCAGACATCCAGAGCACCCTTACTGGGTGACTCTATCTCTCAGGTGGAAAGAGGGACTGATGCTAGAAAGAGAAAAGGGAGCACTGCTTAATTCTAGGATGTCCTATGTTATCTCAATTAAAAAAAAAAAAACTGTTGCCATGGTTTGAATGTATCCCTAGAATCCATGTATTGGAAACTTAACCCCAGAGGCCCTATGTTAATGATATTTGGAAGTCGGGTCTTTGGGAGGTGCTTGGGTCCTAAGGGCTTTACCCTTATGAATGGATTAACCCGCTCACAGATTAATGGATTGATGGGTGCTCTAGGGAGTAGATTTGCTATAAAAGCAAACTGTCTCTGGCTTGCTTACTCTGCCTGCCCATGTGACGACCTCTGCCACCGTACGTACGGGGCAGCGAGGAGGGCCCTGCCAGATGCTGAGCAGAGGTTAGCACTGTGTTCTTGGACTTCCAGCCTCCAGAACCATGAGCCTCTAAATTAGCCAGTCTGTGGTACTCAATTATAGCAACAGAAAGCAGACTAAGAGAACTATTTTATTACAAATTAAAAACATTTACATTTCATATATTTTAGAAAAATAGATAAAACACACAAATAGACACATATAAAAGCCCTTGAAAATTTTTCCTGGAAAACACTTATTATCATAGCACTCAGAAATAGTTACTTGGGTTTGTCAATATTTTGTTTATTCTTTCAGTTCTTTTGCTGTGGAGCGCTCTCTCTCCCAACACGTCTATCTATCTATTTAATATTTAATTACACATTAGGCAACAAGTGATGTTTCTATTTATTTTGAAAGACAAATAGTAGGTGATATTTATATTTAAATACATAATAGTATATTTAAGGTCATATTGATGAATATTGTTTGTGGGAGTTTCTAAAAATACAGAAAAAATACTAATCTACATTTCTAAAGTAACTAGTTCTTTTGACATGTTAAACCTTGTATTCTGAGTAACTCGCTCTGTGAATGTTCCGCAAGATGTGCAAACATTTGTAATAAATTTTAACTTAATAAATGAGTGATGTCTCGCAATATGAATAATATGTGACAGCAAATGTTACATGATCACACCTTCGCCAATGGTTTCCCCTCCTCTCTCTCTGTCTCTGTCTCTCTCTGTCCCTCCCTCCCTTCTTCTCTCCCTCCCTCTCTCTCTGTCTCCTCCATCTCTCTCACTGAGGAACTGTCAGTGATTATCTCCCAATAGCAAGAGGTTATGGAGGAAATCTTGTCTGTAGAAGTGGAGAAGGTGGACAAGACCCTCACTTCAGGTGAGATCTGGGAGAAGTGGAAAACAGTGCAAACTTTTGTATAAAACGCCACCTGAATAAGGCTGGAGTCGTGTGTGATGAATCTGTTTACAATGCAATGCCATATTTCCATGAAATCTTCAAAAGGAGGCAAAAGCAAGTTGGATGGGTTCCATGTTAAAATTGCATGAAAAAAAGATTCCAAAAAAAGAGCCAATGGATAGCAGTGATTCCATTAGTGATAGTGAAAGTCATCTTGCACAATAACCCTCTTCTCTCTTGGCTCCCTCGCACCAGCCATGATGGTTTTCAAAGGTAAATGCAGATTAGTTTGTTTTAAAAAATATTTTGTATTATATTACTGTATTGTAATCATTTTTATATGAATATTTTGGGGCTGTGGAATGAATCATCTGAATTTTCATTGTTTCTTATAGGGAAATTTACTTTGATGTACAAGTGCTTTGGATTATAAACCTATTTCCAGAACCAGTTGTACTTGCACACCAAGGTTTTACTGTACCTGAGATAATCAACTTATAAAGATGAAAGCTTTATTTTGGCTTACAGTTTCAGTCCATGAGTAATTTGATCCTGTTGCTTTAGGACTGTTGCTTGGCAGCACATCCTGGTGTGGAGTACATGATGGAGCAAACTGTTTACTTCATGGCTGGAGGAAAGGGAGAGATTGCAAGAGATGGAGTCTTAATGTCCCCTTCAAGCACATGGTCTCAATGACCTGTGACCTCCCACCTCTTAAAGATATCCATCACTTCATAATAGTGCCAAGCTGGGGATGAAGCCTTAAGTATGTGCACCTTTGGAGGACACCCCAAACCCAAGCTATAGCACAATGGTAAAGTTAAGAGCTGTGCATTTCACTTAATATATTGGACTCCTTAAAACTTCCTAGGCTGCAAGATTTAGGAGCAAAGTATACTGATGTCTGCAGCTTACTTTGAAAATCATCAAAGAGTAAGATGGTTTGATGGATGGGTAGAGGGATGGACAGAAACACTAATGTGTGTTAAAGTAAATACAGGGGCCGGGGATTTAACTCAGTGGTTCTGTCGCCTGCCTTTCAAGCACAAAGACCTGAGTTTGATCCCTGGTACCAAAAAATAAACAAACAAAAATAAAGTAAATACAGCAACCTGTTAATGACAGAATCCAGGATCTGTGAATCACATTGCATGCTTCTTTCAACTTTTCTGTATGTTTGAAATTTTTTGTAATAAAATTATGAAAAAAATCATTGTGATGCAATTAAAGAATGAATATATTAGTAGAAAAGCATGGTGTGGGAAATCTTAGTTTGGTTAGGAGGAGGTGTCAAAAAACAACCAGAAGGGCCTGGGGATTTAGCTCAGAGGTGCTACTGCCTGCCTTGCAAGCACAAGGTTCTGAGTTCGATCTCTGTTACCGAAAACAAAAACAAACAAACAAAAAAATACACACACAACCTGAAAATACTATTGTCATGAATTTATAAATTATTCAGCATTCGTGAATTTGTGAATTTATTCAGGATTCAGGGATAAGTTAGAGCCAGTCCACCTTCTGTTCAGTACAAGGCACTCAAAAACTGTTGCATATATGCTTGAGTGATTTTATTCAACACATACTACTTGCCAGGCACTGTTTGAAGTATTGGGGATATATTGGTGAGGAAACCAAGGGGCTTGGCATACAATCTAGGAGATACCACAGGGGAGTCCAGTTGTGCCTGAGGCCCTATCATACTCTTCCAACCGTGCCACACTGCTTTCCTGCTGCCCCTGACTGTCCCTCTGGCTTTAGGTTGAACCACCCCACCCTTCCTTCCTCCAGGTTCAGAAAAATCCAGAAGTTCTAGTTCCACAAGGATAGGTTCTTTCTTCACTGCTTGATTTCTATTATCAAGCACATTAGGAATGCTCAGGATTTGCTAAACAAATGTATGAATGCAAATTATGCTTCCATTGGTATTCTTCCTTCTCCTAAGCCTTCACTGGCTGCCTCAGGCCTTTGAGTTTGCTGCCAGTGCTGATGGGACCACTTATCTGTTTTGTTTTGTTTTTGAGATGAAGTCTTGGTTTGTTGCCCTGGCTGGCTTCCAATTCCTGAGCTCAAGCCATCCTCCTCTGCCTCAGCCTGCTGAATGCGGGGACCACAGGTACCCACCGCTGTGGCCGGCCATCTCTGGTTCTTGCATATTCTTTCCCATCATTATGTCTTCTGGAGAAGCCTGCCCTGATGGCCTTGCCAATTCTCCACCTACATCCCATTTGCTCTGCTCTGTGACTTAAGGTATTTTTTTCTGTAAAGAAAAAGAAAAGCAGCCTATACACAAGTGCATACTATTTGCTTACAGATTACTTGAACAGTACCAGTTTTCCTGAGGCTGTGCTGTATTTGGTGTTTACATGGTATTTTGTTCTCTTACTCTCTCTCCCTGGACATTTACCATGAAGCAGAGAGGTTCTCAGGGTGTGCATCAACTTGTTTTGGCTCCTTTGTCCTTTTGTCCGTTTCCCCTCCTAAAATCTAAATTCCATGATGGCTGGAACTTTGTCTGTTTGGCTCACAACCCGACACAATAAGGGCTCAATGAATGTCTAAGGACATAGGTCTGCTCCGTGCGTGCTCAGCTCCTCCATGCTCTGCTGCTTCAGTTGAAGGAGGAAGCGCAGGGCCGCTCCTGAAAGAATGGCGTAGAGGGCCAGTGAGTGTAGCCTTCCTAGGGGCCGCCAGCACCCAGAGCTGTCCTTGAAGCCACGCCCTCGGGCTACGCCTCCTCCCGGGACTTGTCCCTTTAAGGGTGGCGGGGCCGCGCACAGGCCTCGCTCTGGAGTCAGTCTGCGCGCTCTCGCCGCGTGTGCCCCGC